TTGTTGAGCTTCAAAGCTCACATACCAACATGTCATGTTGTCGAGTTCACATGCTAAGCTGCCGAGCTATCAAGTTCGGTTATATGGATAATATGATATAAAACTATAGAACATGACATAAAATTGTACAACATGATATGACATAAAACTGTAGGATGTGACATAACATTATCTTTTTTATATGTTTTTATTTTCTATCAAATTTTATACCATGACAAAAAGTCACATCATAGTTTATAGTCAAATAATTAAATGGAGGGCGAGAGTGGCTCTCTCTTCCCATGGGCTCGTCCTCTCTTTTTTTCATCATGTTCTTAATCCTAGTAGGATTTGGGCATAATTAACAGACATTATCGGACCCGACGTCCTAAGAAGATTCAACATTCTGAAATGTACATTAAGCGTGAACATATGCATTAATCTGAAGTTAAGCATAACATCTCCAGAGGGACAATAAAAATCATACTAAAGAAATCTTCACTATATAAGATAAGATGTTTTATGTTAAACCTTTTATTTTTACATCATTTATACTCTTTTACCTCTAATTTGTTCTATATAATTTTTATTAGTGATTTTATTTTTCAAAATATTTATTTGTAAATTGAGGAAATTTTCCTCATAAACAAGTTTCCTATGAGTCAAAAAAAAATTCAAACTTTTCGACTCTACTTGGCTCAACAGCAAGAATGATATGCTCGATTTTATATAAAAAAAAAATTGAAATATTACTAGGTTAAATAAAAGATTAATTCAGTTAACATAAGTATTAAAAATCATGAGATTTACTCCTAGTATAGTTAAAAAATACGGTGATTACTCCCTGTAAGTGTAGCCTAAGTGCTCACAGATGAAGGATAATCTAAACTTAACCAAATCATTTTAATTCATTTATAATTAAGGGTCTGTTTGGTGCAGCTTATAAGTACGGACGGTTTTTTCAAAACGCCGTTTGGTTCGCGCGTTTCACCAGCTTATCCGAAACTGCGTTTGAGTTTTTACACTAAACGCAGGCCGCGGGTCGACCCCTGCGGTTGGCCCGCAGGCCACGTTTCAGAATAAGCAGCTTATCCTGAAACACACAAGCTGCCCCAAACGGACCCTAAGTTAAATTATACAAAAATTGCCCATCTATTCACATAAATAAAGGTCAAAATTTATTTTTAACTCATAATAATTGGAGAACTCTCCCTATAAAACCATTCAGTTAACTATAAAATCTTTCAAGGTAATTCATAATTCCTTGGCACATAATACTGTAAGTGTATCCAAAGTTCACTCGGGATGCCCATCTATTCACATAAATAAAGGTCAAAATTTATTTTTAACTCATAATAATTGGAGAACTCTCCCTATAAAACCATTCAGTTAACTATAAAATCTTTCAAGGTAATTCATAATTCCTTGGCACAGAATACTGTAAGTGCATCCAAGGTTCACTCGGGATAGTTCCGTGTAGTAGGAGTGCTAAGAGCTTCCATTTAGATGAATAATCAGTACATAGGGAAACATAGCACTTAATTTTATCAAAATATTTTTAATTTGTACCAATGAATTCATTTTTTGGATAAATGATTATACGCTTGCTTTATAGGGACGAGTAATGCATAAATTTATATTTTTTTGCAGTTGTCTGGGGAAAAGTTAAAAGAATCAAAGAACTAAATACATACATCTTAAAAAGTCTGTTGAGCTATCAAGCTATGAAGTTGTCAAGCCACCGAGCCATAAAGCGCACCTGCCAGGCTATTAAGTTGCAAAGTTCACCTGTCAAGCTGTCGAGCTGCTAAAGTACAAAATTCAGATATATACAATGATATGACTTAAAATTGTAGCTCATGACATAGTTACAGTATGGGACATAAAATTATCTACCTTTACATATTTTTATTTCCTATCAAATTCTATACCCTGACAAAAATACACCTCATAATTTATAAATTTAGCCCATTGTTGTCTCGTCCTATGTTGGGATGTTCAAGTGAACATATCTATAAAATTTACGGCGACTATTGCTTGGTGGCTTGATGCTGAAATAGCTGAACTAAGTTTGAAGTTTGTGGCGCAAATGTGCGATATCAAGACCTTCTAATTTTCTGAGAAGAGACTGAACTCTTCCTTCTCGTTGATATTATGAGCTGTAGGAAAAGTTGGGGAGCAGCTTCTCTAAGATTTGAACGGTTGCTGTCTCGAAGTTATGTTGGTTTGCTGTGTGGAGCCGAAGCAACCCACCGGCGCATAGGTGTCTGCCAAGGGTGCTCATGCGCCCAATTGGTGCTTCTAGATCTAGAAAAGCGGGCGTTCGAAGTTATGTTGGTTTGCTGTGTGGAGCCGAAGGCATAGGTGTCTGCCAAGGGTGCTCATGCGCCCAATTGGTGCTTCTAGATCTAGAAAAGCGGGCGCTTAAGCGTCGACTTGATTTGGGCATCGATACTGAAAGGCTAGCACTTATGGGCCAACCTATTGGCGCATTTACGCCAAGGGCGGTTTCAAGCGGGATTGCAGTTTTAAGTCCCAATTTCGAGTGGCCTCAAAGTATCTTCTTGGAAAATTAATTAAAGGGAAACTTAATTAAGCAAATCTTAATTAATGGATTATTTAAAAGAATTTGTGGCAGGATCAAAGTACAATTTCTGGCTCAACAAGGAATCTTGCGGAGAAGAAGATTTGGAAGTGTTTTCTGAATTTACTTAGCTAGATAAAGAAAATATTGGCTACGGCGCAGAAAAATATAAAATTTTACGAATTGTTCGCAAGGCAGACGGGCTCGCGGGAACGAACAGATGCGAAGCAGTTCGGATAAAGGGCTGCGGCAGTTCGGCGAGTTATGCTTCGTGGAGTTCGTGGTAGAGGCGGCGTCGCGACTTCGAGGAGCGACAGTTCATGAACCTTCGCGGCATTATGCGAGGTGGAGTTCGCGAACAGGAGCGTTTGCAAACAACGAACAAGAGCGTTTGCGAACAGAGAATTTTGGTGATGCTCGACCAGCAGAGTTTGCAAGTTCGTCGCAGGAGGAGTTGCGACAGATGGAGTTTGCGACAGGTGGAGTTTGGTAGGGTGCTGGCGAGCGAGCAGACGCGATTATTCACGAACAGTGGTTTCGCGGAAGTATTTCGCGAAGGGTTTCACTTACGGGACAGCAGAGGACAGAAGTTTAGTCGAGGTGCTGGCACGAACAGGAAAATTGCTTCAACCCACATTTGTGCATACAACCCACATTTGTGCATAAGAAACTTCATGATATATTTCTCCTAAGGGGCTAGATATTCGCAAGGTAGAGATTTTCTCCTAAGGGGCAGAATGTTCGCAAGGTGGAGATATTTCTCCTAAGGGGCTGGATATTCACAAGATGGAGATTTTCTCTACCTTGCGAATATCTAGCCTCTTAGAAGAAAAATATATTGGAATTTCTTATGCACAACTTTGTGTTGATTCCTATTGTGTTGATTCCTATTTTTCTTTTTGCCCTAATTTCTCAACATCCTACACCCATGTAAAGTTGAGAATTGTTGGTTTGAGGAATTTAACAACATTAATTGATCCTACACCCATATTATCCCTACTCACGTTCTATATTCTTGTATTATCGTCTTCAAAGGAGTTGTTTTAGCTTGAGGGGATTTGGTCAGGGTTGTTAAAGAGCCGACCGACTTTGAGTCGAGCTGGGTCGACTCGAAATCCTCTGCTCGAAATCGGCTTGAATGGATTGAGTTTGAATCGAAATCGGCTTGTGTGCTTGGGCCAACCCCTTAATTTTATTATTATTCACACTATAATGATTATAATAGTTTAACATTATATATTAATTTTATAAATAAAAATACTTCAAGTAGATCTTGAGCGAGTTTGAGCAGATATGTGTCTGGCTCCAAAGCGGATAAAAAAAATCTCAATCCAAAGTTTTGGCTCATAGATCCAATCGCAATCAAAACTAATGTTATAATCAATTATCGAGATTAACAATCTTCGCTAAATTCACACCTTATGTTTGATGTAGCGCAGGAAAAAGGTATTAACGAATTATAAAGAAAACCGATAGATATTGGTATGGCTAAATCAATAATCTCTTCCATAAGTAGGGTTGTCAATTTGGCTTGTTGTTCGTGAATAGCTCGTGTTCGACTTGTTAAGCAGCTGGTGTTCGCCTCGTTCTTTAAGTCTAACGAGCCGAACACGAACAAATTTTTAAGCTCGAAATATAAACTAGCCGAACACGACCAAAAGTTTGTTCACTCTTGTTCCGCTCAAAATAAATGACTAGAAAAAAAAATTATATAACTTTTTATATGACAATATATTACATATATAATATTTATATAATAATATATTATATATATTTATGTCTAAATTTAAATCATAACACCTCATGTGGCAATGTGGTTAGTGTCTTCTTTTATATAGATTTGATACATGTTTGAATCCCACACTTTACATCTATTTTTCTCAATTTTAGTTTAACGAGTCAATTTCGAGCTGAACACGAACACAAATATTTAAATCGAGCCGAACACGAACACACTGTTCACGAGCCGAACACGAACACGAGCCAAGCCCAAGCTCGCTCAAGCTCGGCTTGTTTACAACCCTAGAGGTAATGCAAATACGAAAGGGAAACTTAAACTCGACTCGTTTACAGCACTATCCATAAGTGTTATTGATAGAATATTTTTTAGATTTTTACATTTTTCATATATGATTGATATTGTTCCCTACGATGATTATAGATGTTTATAAATAATTTTAAATTGATCATCATACATTAGACAAAGGGGTGTCAAAAACTAAGCTGATAAGGCAGCATGATTCGAAGTCGACTCGAAAAATTTGAGTTAGAGTTGACCCGAATATTTTGAGTGAAACTTCTTCCATGATTAAGATGTTGTATTTAAATTTTAATTTATTAATATATTACATTCTTTTTTAAATTGATAGTCATAAATATAATAACTTTCCAAAAATAATGAAAAAAAAAATCCAATAAAGTCTCAAATGTCTGTTTTATGATCTATCCACCTCTTTCTTCTTCCTGAAGCCCTATTAATCGTTATTTCTGTCGCCTTATCCTCTCCTCGTTCCGGCCACTAGGGCGATCAACCGAAGCTCAGATCTGTTCTATACCCTTCTCGGAGGTGCTCTAATGGCAGCAGCGATACCTACAGTTTCCTCTTTCTCTATAACCTCACCCTATTCCTTTAACAGCACTTCCCCATCATCTCCAGCGACTGCTTCCACTCTTCCGAGAGCTTTTTTTCTCTCCAGATTCGTAGCCCCTCACTGGAAGCCCTCGCTTATGATGTCTACTTTTCGTCGTAGGCATGATTTCTCGGTCTTCTGTCAGCAGCAGCAGCAATTACCAGCCATTCCCAGCGAGCAGCGGTGGATGTTCGAAGATTCCGAAATCAATGGCCCTGTAATCCCTATTGCCTCCAATTCTCCCACTAATTTTCCTCTTCGCTTATGTCGCGTCATGTTTTCTTTTAGTTGTTGCTTAGCATTTCATGAACTTGGTGTTATGCTTGCTTTATCGATGTTATTTTTATAATTTCAATCTTGTGAAAAGTGTGCGCCTGCAGGATATCTGGAACAAAACTTGGTATCCAAAGGCAGCAGATCATATTAGCACCAAGAAGACGTGGTATATAGTGGATGCAACTGATAAGATCCTGGGAAGGATGGCTTCGGCCATTGCAGTGCATATAAGAGGAAAGAACCTTGCAACTTATACTCCTAGCGTCGACATGGGGGCTTATGTAATTGTGGTATGTGATAAGCATCGTAGAAATATTGAATATTATTTCTTTGAATGGCTGTTGGAATAGAAAAGGGACTGCATAACATTTTTTTTTTTCTAGGAAGATTTATGTGCATACCACTCATTTCTTATGTATTTACATATCTAACACTTAAACTTCAATTTTAACGTACGTACCGCCTTATATCTACATGAAAAGTGTATTTCACTTACCATTTTTTATTTGTATGAAAGATTTAGGTTGTATAAATGCAAAAAGTAAAGATTTGGTGTTTAGGTATGTAAATAAATAAGACTTCGGTGGTTTGTATGTAAATGCCCCCTTTTTCTAGTGGATTTATTAGTTAGGTGTTGCTTTTTGGTATTGCTCATACAATGAGTTAGAATTCATTAATTGCCTTGTTATAATTTTATAAAGCCATTCCTGCATATGGCTGGTATTAGATTATTGGTTTCTTGCAGATGGTGAGGCATTGAGATAGAAATAAGAAGGTGCATAGTTTAGAAAGTGACAAATTTTGCTCTTTAATCTTTTAGTGTGATCGTGTACACATTATTTGATAAGAGATAGTTATACCTTTAAACATGTTCTTTTTTTTAACCTAATCGTTCTTATCATATTATATCAATTTTGCGTGTCAATATGTTATGTATTCTTGTTTTAATAATGTCATAGCATTTTAATGTCATTATTATTGTTTTTTAACCATATTTAGTGTTTGTATTTAGTTTAATTATTTTGGGGCATATTAACAATTGTAGAATTTGGAATTGGTATAGTCATTTTGTTTAATCTTTTAGGATCATCTTGATATGCATATTTGATGATCTAAATTGCTTGTCCCTATTCACGGGCTTTATGACAAGTTTCTTTCAATCTTCTTCAACTTCTTCATGGCCTCTCCAAGTCTTCCACCATGACTCTACATCCATTAATATTAGTCCCTAACTTTACAAAATGAATCTTTATTGGAATTTGTTAGATTTAAGAATAGAGCAGGATACATTTATCGATAGGAAGAGAGGTATAAATATATATTACATGGCCCAAACAAAAGGATATGCATAATTTCATAAATAAACTAACTAGGAAATACATAAATATGAAAACGGAAAATAAATGATGCAAGTAAATGCTAATAATAACTGCAATAGTAATTAGTCTAATAATTAGGCTAATAATCCTAATACTCCCTGTCAAGTTGAAGCGCATATGTCCATCATGTTCAGCTTGGATTTGAAGTCGTCAAACAGATGGCGAGGAAGATACTTGGTAAAGATATCTTCTAATTGATCATTGCGTGAGACAAATGGAATACAAATCTCTCTTGAATCGAGTTTCTCCTTAATGAAGTTTGTCGATCTCCACATGCTTGGTCCGATCACGCTGGACCAGATTATGGGCAATACTAATGACAGTTTTATTATCACGGAACAATTGAAGTGGAGCAAAGACTGACATATGCAATTCATAGAGCATGATGCATAACCAGAGAGCTTCACAGATACCCAAGGATATAGAACGAAACTTGGCTCCAACACTGCTTTGCGCCACAACCGACTGTTTTTTACTTTTCCACGTGGCAAGATTTTCCACACAAACGAAACTTGGATCACCGATCATGGACAGACCAGACCCAATTCGCATCTGTGTAAACAATAATAGAATTGGAGGTATGGCTCAAGAAAAACAAACCCTAGCCCGGTGTGCCTTTAATTAGTAATAGATCATGTCGACAACTCGGAGACGATGCTTATAGGGATCATGCATGAGTTTACTCACAATACCTACTGCATGGCAAATGTTGGGGTGAGTATAGGCGAGGTAAATGAGTTTGCCCACAAGTCATTGGTAGTGAGTCTTGTTGGGATTTATTTGGACCGTCACTGGTTTGCAAAGGAGAAGGTTATTTTCTGTCAATAGATCAAGCATATATTTGCGCTGAGACAGATAAATGTCTTGAGATGATCAAACAATTTTCATGCCTAAAAAATACCGGAGTGATCTCAAGTCCTTCATTTTAAATGAAGTAGAAAAAATACCTTTCAAAGACTCCAATGTAGGTAGATCATCATCTATGAGCACACTATCGTCGACATAGATAATAAGGATAGCAATTTTGCCACTGGAGGATGTCAAAAGAATAGAGTATGATTTGATTGGGTTTGAGAAAAATCATGACCCATTACCCTTTGTGAACTTGTTGAACCAGGTCCTTGGGGATTGCTTCAATTCGTGGAGAGACTTCTGCAGTCGACACAATTGTCCTTGAGGAACAGTAAAGTCAAAGCCTGAAGGGAGGCGCGTGTACACCTTCTCTGTGAGATCCCCATTTAGTAAAACTTTTTTGGCATCCAGTTGGAACAAGGGCCAATCCAAATACACAGTAAGGGAAATTAAGATTTGAATGGTGCTTAATTTAGCAACCAGAGCAAATGTCTGCTCATAATTAAAAAGAACATAAAAAAATAAAAAGAACATAAAAAAGGTTAAAAGGGAGATCATTATCAAATATCAATTATCAATGAAACAAAATATACAGAAAAGCTATTTGGGATCAGTTTTTATTTTAAAAAAATATGTTTGATTTATTTTTCTAGCTGTTTTAATTTATTATTATTATTTTTTAATACTCAAAACAGTTTTTAGTTGCTATATTTTTTTGAGAATGAAAAACTTTACTGCCGGCCACTGTTAACAGCCATCATTTTGATCATGTTGTAATTTCACATCAAACTATAAACAAAGCTAAATCAAAATATAAATAGATAATTAAAACAGAGTAATCTCGAATGGCTTCTGAGTTAATGGTTTGAAGAAAATTTACTGATTTCTTTTCTGTTCTAGTACTAAAGAACTGTTTAATTTGCTTACTAAATAATAAAAGATTATTAACACCTAGGATCATAACATGCTTGAAGGTGGCTTTTAACCAACTTATTTGAAAATCTTTTATCATCTGTGTTATTTTGAATTTGTTATCAATTAGAATTGCTTACTAGCAATAATCACTTGCAAGCCCACTATTCTCTAATTACCATTCTGCCGTTTGCTAAAATCTTCTATATTTTTACTCTTAGCATGATTCTTTTCATAATTAAAACCACTGCATAAAAAATGTTGCAAGTTGTTTCCTCATTTAATTGTTCAATCTCATTTTGTGTAGCTTCCAGATCTATTAACATTCATGTTTGTGCCATGTTTTGCTATAGGAAGATTTACATACATACCACTCAGTTCTTTCGCATTTACATAAACATCTAAACTTCAATTTTTTACATATATATATGCCACCTTATCTATGCATGAAAAGGTGTATTTCACTTTTTAAAAGTTAAAATAGTGATTTCTTTTTTTGATATTAAAGGTTTGAGTGGCATAAATGTAAAAGCTAAAGTTTTAAGTCTTAGATAAGTAAATACATAAGAATTGGGTGGTATGTCTATAAATGCCCCTTTTCTATATCATTCTGAAGACATTTATGTCTTTGTATAATAATGGGTTTGTAGCTCTCAACGGTTAACTCTTTACTCAACACAGGTTAATGCAGAGAAAGTTGCAGTTTCTGGTAAGAAGCGGACGCAGAAGCTTTACAGGCGGCATTCTGGAAGGCCAGGTGGTCTGAAGGTAGAAACATTTGATCAACTACAGAATAGAATTCCAGAGAGAATAATTGAGCATGCTGTCCGGGGCATGCTTCCTAAGGGGAGGGTAAGCAAGATATTTATTTACTTTATTATGCTCTTTTTTATAAGGTTTAAATCGTTGACATTTACATTAAGGCGGAATGAGAAAACTGAAGAATTATATGAAGTACAGTATTGAAAATTTTGCTTCTCATCTGAATACTAGGAGAGAATGTTTATGCGCGGAATAGGGGAGTACTCCGGAGTACCCTATGAGTATTTTCGGAGTACCCCCATCCACATGTATTTATCGGCACATAATATTTTTTCATGTATCAATTGTAAAATTGTGCTCAAGTTGAGTCAAATGAGACATTCAAGCCAACTTTTTAGCTTGGTTTAATCTTTGAGCCGATATGGAGTTGGGCATCGTTTGATTGAGCCGGCTCGATATCTACTTGCAATTTGATAATATATGTTTGTACATATTAAAGGTTTTATGTATATCTTTTTGTATGTTTTTAGATATGTATGAACGTCTATATATATACATACATATATACATATGCACATACATACATATATGTACATATATATACATGCATATTTACACACACACGGATATGTATGTATATATGTATATATATGTATATATATATATATAGATGTATATGTGTACATAAAGACATACTTGTATGTCTATGTGTACATACATCTATGTATCTATCTACATATATATATATATCTACACACAGACACGGACACAGACAGACATATATGCATTAAAGTATGTATGTATGATGGATTAAAAACTTAGAAAATCCAGAATAAATCGAGATGGATAATTTTTTTGTGCAAGTCAAACTTGGATCAAAGTTAATAAGCCATGTCTAGATCGAATCGAGATCAGATCAAGAAAAACTTTAACCAACGTCGGATTGGATCGACATCTTATCAAATAATGGCTTTGAGCCAGATGTAAATCAACTACACACAGACACGTTAACCACCCTCTGCAAACCCATAGTATCAGCTTATATCTACACACAGACACGGACACAGACAGACATATATGCATTAAAGTATGTATGTATGATGGATTAAAAACTTAGAAAATCCAGAATAAATCGAGATGGATAATTTTTTTGTGCAAGTCAAACTTGGATCAAAGTTAATAAGCCATGTCTAGATCGAATCGAGATCAGATCAAGAAAAACTTTAACCAACGTCGGATTGGATCGACATCTTATCAAATAATGGCTTTGAGCCAGATGTAAATCAACTCGAAATCAAATCGTTAACCACCCTCTGCAAACCCATAGTATCAGCTTCTACTATAAGTTTATATCTTTCTTGAGCTTGTTCTAGACTCTATAACCAAGGCATGAATTTTGTTTAATGCAGCTGGGAAGGACTTTGTTTACCCACCTCAAGGTGTACGAAGGGCCAAGCCACCCACATGAGGCACAACAACCAATTCCCCTTCCAATAAGGGACAAGAGAATGCAATTGGAGAAGTAAATCATTTCTGGCTAACTTATGCTCATGATTTTCCTTGAATTTTCTTACTTTTGTTCTTGATTTTTTTCCATATTAGTAAGTGACCAGTGAGCCAACCTTTTGATGTACTTAATTTGGGCAAGAAATGCTTCTCCGGTCTCCATTTTCAATGTCATTTTTGTTTTTTGTTTTTTATTTTTATTTAAAATATATTTATTTAATATATTTTTATATGTTTAATTTTTAATTTTCAAAAAAGAGTGAAGTGCCAAAATAATCCCTTACTATTTATATGAGACAATTATAGTCCCTGAGTTTATAGAAGTGTCCAAATAGTCCCCGATTATTTCATTACTTTTGTAAACTCTGGTGCTATGTAAATTTCACACTTTGAAAGTTACTATTAGGGCTGTCAAAAAAACTCGTTGTTCGCGAACAGTTCATGTTCGGTTCGTCAATGAGTTCATTTTCAATTCGTTCGATAAGTAAACGAGACGAACGTGAACATATTTTCTTCGTTCGGTTAGTTAAACGAATCAAATACAAACAGTGATGCGGTTGTTCGTGTTCGAATTGTTATTATTCTAAATATAAAATAATTTAAAATAATTATATATATAAATTTAATGATATTTTAAAAAATTAAATTTTATAAATTATAATATAGAATAAATTAATAATAATAATATATTAATATACTATATTAGTAATATACTAATATAGATATTCTATATTTATATATATTAATATTAGGGATGTCAAACTAGCTCGTCGTTCACGAACAGCTCGTGTTCGGCTCGTTCGTTAAGAAACGACACGAACAGTGATTTCACGAACAATTTCAAACAAGGGTTTATTTCAAATAAACTAAATTTCAAACGAACCGAACACGAACACAAGCTCCGTTTTGTTCGTTTACACTCCTAGCTACCATAGAAGCTTTTGAGTCATTTCGATCTTTTTTTTTTATTATTTTAATTTTGGGTTTTATGTTTGTATTACTATTTTAAGTGAAATCATGTTTTGATTCGTATTCTGTAGTCACTGTTTTAACATAGAAAAAGAAAACATCAACAAAATCATGATAAATCTTAATCAATTACCAAATTTTAATTTCAGAATTAGGGTTTAGTAAAGAAAAATACATATTTATTGATCTGTATGCTTAGGCCTTGTTTGGGACCATTTTTTTCTTTTTTTTTTCAAATTTTTTTTGTGATGCATATATATATATATATATATATATATTGAAAAATACAAATTATTTTTGAAAGTTTTCAATATTCTTTTGGGGGATTTACATACATATCACATAATTTTTATGTATTTATATATCAAACACGTAAACATTCATGCTGAAATGCACGCCACTCAGATGTTTAACATCGCTCAAAAATATTATCATTGTTATCTTTTTTAAAAGTATGATATATCTTCTCAAAAATAAGTTTGTCATAACAAGGTGTTGCAAGTGTAAATATCAAATTTTGGGGTATGGATAGATATGTAAATTCATAAGAATTATGTGGTATGAATGGAAATGGCAGTTTGGCAGAATGGCAGTTATGTTTAAGATACTTGATTAATTAATTGAGTTCAAGCCCTCAATTTGGGCTTGTACTTGATTAATTAATTTAGTTTGAGCTCCAACTTAATTCTAAGAGCTCGAGCTAGCTCACAGGTCGATTAGTTTATTATGAGAGAATTGCCATTGGGATATAACCTAGTTTCGCTCAGGGTGTCAAAACGGTTTGTTGTTCACAAATAATTCTTGTTCAGCTCGTTAAAAAGTTTGTGTTTAATTCGTTCGCTAAGTTAATAAATTGAATACAAGCAATTTTTTTGTACTCCATATATAAAAGACCCGAATACCAACAAAGATTTGTTCGTACGTGTTTGACTCGTTTTAACTCAAAATAATTATATATAATCTATATAATTGATGAGTGGTATTTTAAAAAAATTTAATTGACTACAAGCCTACAAAAAGTTATAATGAATTAAAATTATTAATTAAAAAATAGAATAAAAATACATTAAACTATATTTGAATATTGTTTTAATATAAATAATAAGATTTAAATCACGTCCTATTTTTAACATCCTACATTTGTGTGACGGGTTGTCAAAATGACTTTTTGTTCATGAATAGCTCGTGTTTTGCTCCCTAAGCAAACGAGCTGAACACAAACACATTTTTTTTTTTATTTGAAATATAAACGACCCGAACACAAATAGATGTATTTTTTAATGAGCTGAATACAAGCTAAGCTCAGGCTTGCTCGTGTTCGGCTCATTTGCTCCTCTAGTTTCGCCCTTTCATATCCCTTCCAATTTGAATTCATATAAAATTTATCATAAAAATAAATTTTATATTTCGAAATAAATGCTTTCTAATCACACCATATAATATAATATAAATATATCAAAAGCCTCCTAAACAATCAAATATGCCCTAAACAAGAAGTATCAATTGGAAAGCTCGTAGAGGATAAGCATCAATAAATGGTTGCTTCATCACTTAGAATCAATCAATCCATTATTCCCTCAACGAGAAGAATCCAATACTAATTTTCTTACAAGTGCATCATTGGGATTCAATTATTTTTTACTTTCCATTGCTCCTACTTAGATCACAGCCGTTCATTCACATATCCATAATGCAGATTGTTAAGCGCTCGAAATTTGATTTGAATTTCTGCTTGGATTG